GTCCTGTTCTTGGGAGTGTGAGAGCCAGGGCGGGTGCCGCGCAGGGCGCCGGGGCTGCCGCCGGACCGGGGCAGGCCAGGGAGGAGCGCGCGGACGCCTCTCGCTCCGCTCCCGCTGCAGTAGTTTGGGTGCCGGGACTCCCGTCTCCCCCCTCTAAATATTGTCCCCCTGCCCCCGTGTGGGGTAGGAGCTCTGGAAAACTCTCCCCTGGGGCCTGGCGTTTCTTTGGTCGCTCCCCATCCTCAGGGTGATGGAACCGCGCGTGGGGTGGCAAGCTGGAGGTGGCCCCAAGCGGTGGCAGCAGGAGGGACATCTCCGTCCTTACGGATACGTTGGCCGTGCCCTCCATGGGCAGCGGGGAACCCTTCCCTCTAGGGCAGCTCTAGGTCCCTTTGAAGCAGGCTGGCACCTCCGCCCTCGCCCAGCTCTTCCGTCCGCCCGAAGAGGCTGTAAAGTGCCACCGGAGAGGCCTGTGTGACACCGCGGGGCCGCTGGCGAGGGCAGGAAGGAGCTGGTGCGGATGGAGCGGCTGTCCCGGCTGCTCGTCGCCTCGAGGGAGCCGCCAGGCTGCCGGACACCCCGACCCCAGGAGGAGGAAAAGGCATTTTTATTTTGTTTTATTTTATTCTGTTTTATTTTTTTCTCTCTCAAATCATTTAAACTTCATTGTCATGATTGTTTTTATTTAAAAACAAAACAAAAACGAAAAACTTTTGTAATGTGGATTTGTTTTCCTTCGTCTGTATTTCAGTCTGCTGGGGTGTTTCCGTAGATGGTGAATACTTGCTTTCATTTTTTTAATGATAGAGATCTTCTGTTTAAAGTTGTTTTTTTATCACCAGCTCATTCTATCCTCTGTGGTTACTCAGTAATTTCATTTCAATATTTATTTTTGTGCTGCTTTTTTATTATAAAATAAATTATTGATATACCAAGCAATGTGGATTCCTGTTTGTAAGGCGAATAGCCCTGTGTATGTGTCCATTATTTTCTCTTGACAGCCACAACGTAATTTATTGCTGTAAATTTAGCTGCAGTGACTGGTTTTTTTGTACCTTTCCAATAAAGCATTTTCTGGTTTCAGACTTGCCCTGGTGTATGGTCAGCGTTTGGGAGCTTGCATTGATCTTCACGGGGATGTTTTCCTCGCTGTGTTGTCTGCCGTGGCCTGTGCAGTGTTAGAGCTGCCCACGAGGATGGGTTTTTGGGCGGGAGGCCGGGCCTAGGGCCCTGTGTCGCCGGCGCAGGGCTGGGGAAGCGGCTGGGCCGCCCCGTCCAGGAGCCTCTTGGTGTGCTTGGAGGGTGCTCAATTACTGCCTCTTGTTCGAGCTGCTCCTGCAACAGATCTCCTATGTGGACCATGTGTCTCTGTTGCTCTGACCCACAGCACAATGTGTAAGCGTGAGGTGCTGCTAGAGCGGCTGCCTGGGAGCAAGCAGGGCCTAGGAGGTCGGCAGGTGCCCACACGCATTCGTGGGGCCGAGAGCTGCTCTGCCGATGCTGTTCCTGCCCTGAAGACTTCGTGCTGGGAGGACGCAGTGTGTGAGGGAAACGAGCCCCTCTTTGGGGCTGTGAGATACTCCTTCCCTATACAACTGCTTGTGAATAAACTGCTTGAACTCCTTCAATTAATATTTCTGTTTCTCCCTATTTGTTTCTCTGGGCCTGGTAGAGTGATGGCACTGTGTGCCAGAGAGAGTCTACGAGCAGAGTTATCCTTAATCCCCTTTCTGAGCAGCCTCTTGGTTTGGGAGATAGGTGATGGGGAGGGGAAAAAAAACACTGGAACGATATTGGGCTCAGGATCTTGGAGACGAAGGCATTAGCCAAAGCCTGAGTTTGTCTTCATGTAATTTTGCTTCTGTGCAGAGAAGTGGGATAGAGCTGGTGAATGTAGAAGCAGGTCTTTGATGGCTGGTGGGTGCCAGAAGCGGGGCTGGGGGGGCCTGCACCACCACAGCAGCCTTGGAAGCTTCTGGAAGCCCTGGGGTTTCCTTGCAGTCACTTGTGCTTAGCCTGTTCCTGAAAATGAGAAAAGGCAGCGAGGAGCCAGTGGCTGCGGAGAGGGGACGTGAGACAGTTGTGACCCTCAGTAGGACAGGGCAGCATTAGCTCAGGAGAAGGGCTTGAGCGATCAGCCCAAGTTCATCAGGGAAAGGAAAAGTCTCTTTCACCATGCTTCGGAGAGGGAAGAATCCCGTTGCTGGGCTAGGAAGAGCCCTGAGAGAGCAGGAATCCTGCGCACGCTGCAGGTCTCGTAGCTGCTCCCCACCAAGAAACACGGGAGCTTGTGGGTGGCTACCCAACACCCCAAGCCCGGCAGTGCTGCTGCATCCCAGCTCCCACTCGTAGGTGTGTGAAAACACCGGATTTGCTGGGGCAGCCCTGGCCGCCTTCCCCTGTGCCCAAGCACGTATGAAATGTGCTCAGGACGAGCTGTTATGGGCACCAAGACAGGATGTGGCCCACGAGGACACGGCCCCTGGCAGAGCTGCCAAGCTGCCCTTCCCAGGACGGGCTGGGAAGTGCCCGCAGCCACAGCCCTGCCCGCAGGGAAAACCAGGGGATGAGCGAATGCGGGAAGACGAGTGTGCTAAGAGGAGTGTGCTGACCACTGGAGCCTGCTGCCCGCAGCGGGACAAGCCTCTTCCTCCAAAGCTGCCCGCTGCTGCGGTGCCGTGCACAGGGGCGGGCATGTGTGTAGGTCACCTGCGGTGCGTTACCTCCAGCTTTTGCTGTGTTTTTGCTAAAAAGAGAGAAGCTTTTGAGCGGAAGAGCACACATCTCACCTATCTGCTGGGAGAGATGCTCAGCCTGACACTGTAGGTATTTCTGTTGTCTGTGGATGCATTTCGACAGTGTGATGATGTGGATGCGGTGACGGTGCCCAGGCTGCTTTGCCAGCTCTTACCTCTGCCAGGATGAGACCAACGAGGTGGCCGAGCTCACGCCGGCTGGACAAGGATGCTCTGCCCTCCGCTGCTATGGGGGCTATGGGGTCCAGCCCAGCACAACTCCTTCAGGGCACTAGCACACTGCCAGCTTGCACGAGCCACAGCTGATCTTTTATTTTCCTCTTGTTGTGCTTCTGAGGAAGACCTGTTTTACATATAACACAGTAATCAGGGCTTGACATAAATAGGCAACGGTTATTGTCTGCTGTGGGAATTGCACCTGCTGGCGAGAGCAATGAATGCAGCCCATTACGCCCCGGAGTCGATCATTTGTGCAATGAAGTACGACTGCGCTTCTCGCCGCGCTCTTGTGCAAGTCCTTATGTTGGCGGCGGCGAGCGCGACGGCAGATGTGCTCCTGTCACCTTGGCGGGCTGTCCTCACGCCGAGGAGACCAAGACGTTCAGCTCAGGGCCTTTGCTGCTTTCTAGCTGGCTGCCTTATAAATCCAAGCAGCCTCGGCCCCGAGCTGCAGGTCACAGGCAGGAGGGTCCTGCTCCCGGCGCCTGCATTTACAGGGTGTGTGACACTTGTTTATAGGCCTGCTCGCAGAAAATGTGACAGCGCTCTGGCTGAGCAGGTATGAGCTCTTGAGAGCAGAGGGACTGGTAGGACTGGCTTAGCTACCGCCTGCCTGTGTTGTTGATCCCAGTCTTCCGGCGTTATAAGATTTCTCCGATAATAATAAATAGACTTGGTGTCATTGCTGTTGTAATCTGTGCTCAGCCTGGCTAAAGGGAATTCAGCTCTGAGCTGCTGCATCCACGGCTTGGGAGGGAGTCAGGCACAACACGAGGAGGGGAAGGAGAGAGAAAGAGGAACACAAAAAACCTTGGGAATACCGAGATGTGCAGGTGCTGCCTGTGCAGATATTTCTGCTGCCCCAGCATCAAGAGGCAGGGAGGATATTGAGTGTAAGAGCAGAAATAGGCAGATTATGGGCTTTGCTCTCTGAGCTAAGAAAGCAAAAAACACTTGTTCAGTCCAAAGTAGAAACTGCTTTTTATTAGAAAAAAAACATAAATAAAATAATTTGAGGTTGCAGTTTACTCTTTTCAGCTCAAGAACAAAGCAAAACGGTAGGAGTTGAGCGTAAAATGGCTATAAGCCCTACCCCTCGGCTTGCTTGCCGCATGATTGCAAATCTGGGGCTGTCGACGTGCCCTTGTCCGTCCAGTCCCCAGCTTCACCCACCCTCCCGCCGTACTCTAGCCAGTTCCCACTTGAGTTCCCAGAAATCATCCGATTAGCAGCTTTAGGTTTTAGTCTAGCTCGAGGAAGAAAAGAAAACCCCATGCGGAGGAAGTTCCGCAGCATGTGTGCTCCTCACCACCGTTCGGTGCGGGGGGAAATCCACGCCGCCCTTCGTGACCGCGTGCCGCTTCTGCAAGCCGCGCTGCCCCGAGCGGCGGTGGCCGCGGCCACGTCTGTCCCCACGGACGCCAGCAAATCCTCTGGGTTGCAGGTGCAAAGAAGTGCCAAGCAGCGGCTCACGTGCAGCCCCGGTGCTACCAGCTCACGCGGTTCTGACTCGACAAGAACTAATTCTTCTGATGCTCGGCCCCAGATGCGTGACTGGGATGCATCTAGCTATAACGTTTGTTTTCTGAATGTGGGGATAAATAAAAAGGGGTTAGGAAGAACAGACTGTTTCCAGCAAGTACATTCCTACCAGCACCAGTCACAGTCTCCTTCCCTAATAACTGCTCCGATAAGGAAACTGGAATCCCTTTTAACTTCAGATCGCTTTGGAGATAGTCAGTTGAGACATAAACAAGAGAGGTTCTGTCACCAACAGCTCTCAAATGCAGCTGCGAGACCTTGCTCTAGCCCCGAGCATGGTCCTACCATCCCTCCCCAGGGGAATCGCTATTTCAGGCAGCTGCATCCCCATCAGGAGAGAGGAGAGGATGATCACCTCTTCCAACAAGACAAGTTGTGTCTTCTGCACAACTCCTCAGACTTGTCTGAGGGAATGGGATGGGGGGAGTATATGAAAGTAAGGAAAAACATCTTTAAAATGTTACTGGGTTTTGAGGTGAAGTGAAGTCACCTTGCTGGTCTGTTTTTCTCCACAAGGTCCTTAGAGATCATTTCTACTGAAATCAAGAGAAACTAGAGCGGAACTGTGCTGAGAAAAGCATTTCTCTCAGGTCTCAGCACCCTTTGTAGACAAGAGGAGGGTGAGGGCAGTGTGTCCGTCTTACAGCACTTACAGGGTACCCAGGAGCCGTGTTCAGCATTCCCAGAGCGTGGACACATGCATGAGAGTGGCAGTGGGGCAGGCAAAACACAGGCGAAGACGTGGAGCAAAGACAGTCCCATCTCTGATACCAGTAGAGGTGGGGCAGTAGAAGCTGGCACTATGTGGTTGAACTTTTCCCTCTTCACTTGAAGAGATCGGCTTTTTAAGGCAATTAATAAGCTACCCTGGCCTACCTCTTTTACCCTCTTTGTGCTCTGATTAGACCAGGTTGTTCCAGCCTTGAGACAGTTCCCGTTCGCATGGCTTTAAGCCTCTCCTGTGTTGCTATCCCCTCTGGGGTCTCCTACAGTTCCTCGTCTGACAGGATCAGCACTCTTTTCTCAATGTTTTTGCTCTTTCTGCCACTCAGTCCCTCTGCCTTGGTCACCACGTGCCCGTTTTCCCTGGGCGCTTTGTGCTCCGCGTCTTGCATCGACTGCTGGGTGTACTGCTGGTACGTGGGCGAGAAGTTGTGGATCGCATCCTGCACGATGTCCTGGGGGCTCATGGTCTCCTTCAGCCCGCTCGAGATGCTTTGCATTGGGGCAAGGTTTGCTGGAAAACAGGGAAAGCAGAAGGGACAGTGATGAGACAGCAGACACGGCTCTCCGGCCACAGGGACAAAGACATGGCTTGAACCCACCGCTCAAGCCCGAGGACGTGGTCAGAGAAGAGCAAGCAAAAGCCTGAGCACTCCAAGCCTTTGGACTCAAGGAACATTTTTAACCTGGTTTCCTTAGAAACTGGAGATCACAGCCCCCATCAAGGGCCATGTCTCTCTACAGGACAGAGGTGGCAAGGAAGGCCACCCCAATTCTATGTTTCCAAGTAGTATTTAAGAGGATGGACCCTTTCCAGCAGCATGTACCAAAATTGCCCTATTTCTGATCTCTCCCTATTCTTAACCACTCACTGTGTCTCATGGATACAACATGAGAAGGAGAGGAATTTTGTGGAGTGCAAGAGAAAGAAATTCCTCTAGTGTTTTCTTCCATGCTGTGAGAGGATTCTCTTCCTTCCTTATTCACCAGGGAAAGAAGGAAAAGAGGAAGAGTTACCTGTTGAATTTTCTTTCTTCTCTATATACACCTGGCATGTAAATGCATAGCGCAGAGCAATGGAGGCAAAAAACATCTCAATACAAATGATGAAGTTCTGGTAGCCAGCAGACACTGTCCCAGCTCCTACTTCCTTCCCATCAATAATCTGGACTTCAGGGATCACGCCACATTTCTCCAGGATTGCCAGCAATGTCCCTGTGAGGAGAGAGGAGAAGGATCAGCTCTGCTCATGCACCCCTGGGTTGCAGATCCCAACCAGTGTAGTGCTATGAGAGGAGAAGTGCTGGACGCCCATGGCAGGGACCCACCTTGCCAGAAGGAGAGGAAGATGACCGCCTTGATGGTGATGAACTTGAGCACTGGCTTGAAGGGTCGCAGGAGATCCATGGTGGCAAAGTAGAAGAGGAAGAGGGCATAAAGCGCCAGGCTGACGGAGAAGTTGTAGATGATGGTGATGTAGAGGTAGCCACTGTGGACACTGCAAAGAGAGTGATGCTGTCCTGGACTGTACAGTGAGTACAACAAGCTACAAAGTCATTGCAAGTTGAGGAGGGAAGAAGCGGGAAGTGGCAGGAGAAGCTGTAGCTCCTGCGAGAGGCACAGACACCCAGTCACACTTGGCGGTGGCATCTCAAGGTTGGCAGCTGCACAGAGCTGGGCTGCGCTGCAAGGTGGGAGCTGGGGAAAGGGCCCTCGTGGCTTTTGGGGCTCTCACAGCCACCAGGAGGTCAGATGCCACACCAAGGACAGGGATTTCTGGGAAGCACATGGCTTCATTCCAGGAGCTGGAGGGAGGGCACAGCCCAGGGACGTTCTTGCAGAGGGGGGTGTCTGTCTTTGGGCATGCAGCAAGGACCCACCCGTCCCTACACCCATGGGAGGTGAGCATCCTCCTCCCTGCCACCCTGGCCCAGCCTTCTCACTTGAAGTCCCCATCGTGGTACTTCCCAAACGCCTGCAGGATGATGGTGATGATGGCCATGAGGGGTTTCACGATGCAGAACTGCAGTGTAGCCTGTGTGGAAGAGAGAGACACGGTTCAGCCCCGGGCAGGGGGATGTCCTGATGGCTGGAAGCAGAGCTTGCTGCCCACCCACCAGCCAACCTCTTTACTACCCGGACAGAAAGGCTGCTTTGACTGAGTGCACAGGAGTGACCAGCACTACACACAGCATGGAATATGATTCAGCTTCAGTGTGCCGCCCTGCAGCAAAGACGCAGGGCTATGTCCCAGAGCTGCCAAAAAGATCTCATTTGCAGGGGCGAGAGCTGGTGGCCCGAGGATGCAGCAGTGCCAGGACTCAGCTTGCAGCCCTGGGGAGCTAGAAAGCTGTTGGGGCTAACCTGGGCCTGGCCTGAGATAAAATCTCTCTGCTCTGCAGTGGGAGGGTCCCTGACTCAGCAGTGAGTCAGAGGCAGGGACAGCGAGCGCGGCGCCCTGCAGCTGGCCGGGCACCCGCCGTGCTGGGGGAGCTGCCTCCCTCGCAGGGAAAAAATGAGCATCTCCAAAGAGCTGGGCAGCAGCAGCCCCTTGGGGAGGCCCCGGGGAAGGGAGTCACCCGGAGGTGGCCACCCACCCCATCGGGCTCCCTGCCACGTACTCACCTGCTTGCAGAAGCGCAGGAATCCAATGGAGTAGGACATGCCCTGCAGGCAGCACGTCCCGTAGAGGCAGCTGGACCTGGAAGGAAAGACCAAGGAGAAGCCGTGGGGGCTGATGGGGAGAGCGGGTGGAGGGCCAGGGAACTCTGTGCACAGCGTGACTTACGCTATGGGCTTCCCTCGGATCTCTGTCATGATGGTGCTCTCGCCGCCAAGGTACTCGAAGCACAGGCTCAGGAAACTATAAATCACGAAAGCTGGCAGGGCAAGGATACACGGGATCAGCAGGGCTGATGGAGAACCAGGGGACTATTACATTACATTGCCCATCCTTTCTGCTCAGGCGTTTTCTCACCCGCTCCCAGCACAACATCCAGGCAGAGTTTGAGCACTTGGGACACTGGTCAGGGTTTCCACGTGGGTGGGAGCCCAGCGAGGGGAATCGCAAGGCAAATCTGCAGCACCTGCTCAGCACAGCAGATGATTCCAAGCGGAGCTGTACTCATGTTCCCATGTGCTCTGTGTTGCAGACCTAACAGAACTGCCCTGCGTGCACAGACCCTTCGTGCTTGCAGCTGGAGCTCCAAGCAGAGCCGCTCCTCATGCACAGCTACACAACACAGGGCAGAAACGCACTGGCCAGAGACAACCTTTGTGGAAGGATCTCAGGAACACCAAAGGGCAGCTTGAGCAGCTACTGCCCAGAAGAAAGCAGATTATTTGGTCTTAAGAGGCAAGAAATTCGTTCTGGGATGCCCTCCATAGTTTGTGAGTTCAGTGACCGCAATAGAGTTTTCTTAGATCCCCATCTCTTATTTTTCATACTCCTTTGCTCCAAACCCAACATAGTACACGTGCCTTCCCCAGCAGAAGGGCAGCACGGTCGAAGACCAGCAACTCTCACAAGCTTCCTCTGCACCTCAAAGCATCCCAGATCTCCCAATTTCCCAGGTAAAGCTATGCACCCCGGACAGCTCTGTCTTCTGCTTTAGGTTTTTCTACCTCAAAGGTAGCCAGAAAAACCCTTTCCAGTGGAGCGGAAGCAGACATTGTGCTCCCTTGAGCCTGACGGGTGGCTGAGAAACACCAGATTGTGTTTGTCCTTGGGCCACTTCCCTCCCTGTCCCAAATGCCACTAGATACTCAGTTTTGTGTGGTAAAAAAAGAACATTTGGGCAGGACTGTGACTTTGGGGAGGATGTTCTTGCAGGTCACCCATGCGGTCGGACATGCTTCTGAAGAGCAAGATAGGGTAAAGCCTCCACAAGGAAGATGTGAGAGATGTGAAGATTTATGACTTGGTGCAATGCCCAGGTGCTCCAGGGATGCAGGTGGAGCACCAAGGAGAGCAGCCCTGCTCTGCCGCTAGCCTTTGCACCACACTCACCTTCATAGCAGTCGCGCACAGAGTCGAAGTACACGTAGTACTGGTGGCTCCCAAGGAGGAGAAGGCTGAGCCAGGAGTCGAAAGCATAGACGGGCACGATGAAGAGGATGCGGATGATGTAGCGCTGCTCCTTGGGGACGGTGTAGTTCCTCAGGTGCATATAGATCTGCAAAGAAGCGCAGATTGTCCAGTGTGTAGCCCAAGGAGGAGGTAAACCCTGCCCTCGGCCTCAGTGCTGCAGGAGGCTCCTCCGGCACTGCCTTCCTCCAGCTCCCTCCTTTCCACCCCACACCTCTCTCTGGAGCAAGACACTCAAAGTGGCCACCATGGGGGTCCACGCTGAATTTGGCCCTCAGAGGTGCCCACGCTACTCCAGCACCATCCCACTGAGTTCAGCAATGTGGGACCACAAGGACACCCAAAACACACCTTCTAGCATGTCATTTTGGGGCAATACACAGAGGGTGTCCAGAGGTGCAGACATCCAGCACCTCACCATGGGGACAAACCTGGCAGAGCTTCATGCTCATCACTGGCCTCCCGGCCATGCTGAGGCTCTGACTCCATCCCGGCTGCATCCCGGCTCCAACCAGCCCAGCACTGCCCTGGCTGCAGCCAGCAGCACTAGGGTACTAGTGCCAACATGGGGACTAGGGCACTAGTGCCAGCATGGGGAAATATCTATCGAGGGCTGATGGAGGGACAAGAGCAGCTGAACAAGCCTAGAGGTGACCAATAGGTTCTACCTCAGCATTAATCCAAGCACTGCCGGTACCTGGTGGAAGGTGAGGATCAGCGCCGACCACACAAAGAAGCCGGAGACGACCTGTGCCGTGACGGTGCTCAGGAAGAGCTGCCCGCTGCCCTGGGAGCCGTTGTGGGCAGCGGCGAGCGCGGGGCCGGCGAGGGCCGCGGGGTCGGGCGTCGCGGCCAGCCCGGGCGCTGTGCCGGGTGCCGCGGGAGAGGGCAGCGCGCGGGTGCCGTTACTCATCTGCGGGAGCAAAGGTGAGTGCCACGGCGCTGCGGTGCCGATATTCCTACCCGTTTTCTCCTCCCCAGGCCTTTTGCAGGGTGCCAGCTGTTCCCCACAGCTGGGACTGCTTCTCCCAGGGAGAAAATTCCACCTTCCTTTGAGAACAGAACTTCTTTTCTCCCACAAGCTGCATGTGGTCCATGTGTCTCCCAAAACTCCTGGGCTCCCTGGCCTTTCGCCTTCTGCGTGGCTCCAGGGAAGTCTACCCACACTCGTGCACCTCTGAGTTCCTACTTGCGGCTCCGAACCACCAAAAAATGGGGATTTACAGGATAGAAGTCACCCTTTATCCACGATGGAAGCTAGCCCCTCATCACTGAGCCCTCGGGTGGCCACTGTCACCACAGGGACCCTGCAGCAAGCGGGTGAACAGGTCCCATCTCACAGGGAGCCCGGGGACACCAGCACCCTGGTGGCCCCCACATCTGGGCTGCCTCTGTGGTCCATCTGTCTGTGGCAGCAGACACCAGAGAGGCCGTAGCCAGCAGGCAAATACCGGCCGTTTGGGGCGCGTGGGGGAGTTGGGGACCACCAGCAGCCCCAGCGTCACGCAGCCCCGGCCGCTGCGGTGCCGCATTCTCCTTTATGGAGCCACCTCCTCTCCCAAGGCCAAGAGCGGCACAAACTGCCCTGTCCGGCCTCTCAGCTAATCTACGGAAAGCTGGTTTTTTTTTTTTTTTCCCCTCGTAATATAGCAACACTATTTTTATTTTTAATAAACCCTGCAGCCGGTTCTCTAATAAAACAGATGCTGCTCAGGGCACTGTTAATAAACAAAGATTTTAGCTACCGGGTAACTATCGCCCGGAGAAAAAACTGTAAGCTTGGCCTGGCATGAGGAGGAGGAATATTTCAGCTGATAAGAGCGACTGGGAACGACCTCCATGCAGCTGCGCACAGGAAAGGGACCCAGAGCAGGGGCTCCACATCCAGATTATCTCCCGCCCTCTCCCAACCCTACCTGGTGAGTGGACTACCTGGCATAGAATCCACTGGCCTAAAATCACCCCCCTTGCGCCCACTGCCCGCCTGGGAGCTGCCTGCAAGGGGAGATGCTGGTGCGGAAGGAAGATCCACGGCGGGTGCCGGTGGGATTACCGAGGCAGAGGGTTTTTCCTTGGTGCCACAGACGCCTGTGGGGTTTCGGGGCCTTTCCCCCGGCACACGGAAGTGGGATATCTGCACACGGCTGCTCTTTGGACAGATGGGTATGGCGTGGGACCTGCCGTGTAAACATTAACCGGAGGCCGAGATAGCATGGGGACGAAGCCGTGGCACCTTCCTCACCATGAGGCTGCCCCTTTCCACACGGAAAGTGGGAAAAGCACTGAAAATGCACAGATCCATCCAAGTTTTATGATGGAGGGGACATGCTCCATGCTAAATGCAAGACTCTAATCCTGTTTGCATCCCGGGCATGTGTGCAGCTCCCAGGACACGACTGCCCTGGCACCAGGCGCGAGTCCTGGCAGCCTTTCCGTCACCGCGAGGCTCTCAGCGTGCCGAGCAAGTCATTAAAAACACCAGGCTCGGTGCCACCAGGAGCCAGGGCTCCCGGCTCCTGAGGTAATTAGATCCCAGCTCTGCAAGGTAACCGGGCAATTCAATGCAGCCCAAGGCCCATTTGCTTCCCAAACAAAAGCAGAGGGGAATAATATTAGCGATAAAACCCAGCGCCTCGGCGGGACCGCACGGCTGCTCCAGCTTGGCTGCTTAAAGACACCTTGCAGCAGCGGAGCCAGTGCAGCTTGCGGGACACCAGAGATGCTGAATGAGCCCCAAAATGCAAAACTGCAGCGGTGACACCTTTGCTTAGAAAGGCCACCAGCAAACAGGATTTTTTCACTTCCTTTCAGGGATTCCCCATAGCGGGCAGGCTGCCAGAGCAGAGCGTGGCCCGCCTGCACTCCTGGGCCCCATCGCCTCCCTGCAGCCTGTCCCCAGGGCTCCTTGCAAAGGCAGGAGGAAATCACAAGCGCCTCAAGTCACCCACGGTGTCTTCCAGTGGCGATGCTTGCCCTGTGCCACCCGGAGCCAGGCTTGCACTTGGCAAGCGGGAGAGATTGCACCCAGCAAGGGGAGGAATTGCACCCAAGAAGGGGAGAAACTGCACTCGGCAATGGGAGATTTTGCTGCCTCGCTGTGCAGGGACACGGTGACCAGGCTCCCGGGGCTGGGAAGGGCACTGGGGGTGCAGGTCAGAGCCCTCTCCTCCCGATTGCTGCCCGATAAGGCCAGCCACAGGGCAATTACTTGTGACAGCCTCCCCGCGCCCAGCCCGCAGCACAGACCTGGAAAACCGAGAGGCAGAGCAGCACCAAGTCCTCCCCAAAGTGCCTTTGGGCTGCGTGGGGCTGCCGGCTGGCCGGGCAATCCGCGCTCTCCCCGGGCACCTCCCGGCTGCGCTCGGCACCTGCCTCCGCATCCCCCGCGGAGACTCCTCCTCCGGCACCTTCCCTCTCCCATGCCGGCCGCCCCCGGGCTCTGCGGAGGCCGGGAGCGCTGTGCAGGCCGGAAAAGCCACCAAACCTACCTTTCCAAACCTACCTTTCCAGTCGGCCGCGCTTGGCACCCGCACCCGGAAAGCGAACGCGGCTCGAAGGCCGCGGCGCCGCCAGCCCCTGGGTAGCGCTCCCGGGCGGCTAAAGGCTCCCTTGCGATCGGCACCACAAATTGGCGCTGCCCGCGGGAGGGGAACGACGGCTCAAATCAGGTGGTGCGAGCGGCCAGGCTCACACGCGTGCCCGTTTCTCGGGGCAGGTCTAGCGCGGAGGCCCTGAGCGCTGCTGTCATTGTCCGCAGCGAGGGGAGCCGGCCGCGGAGCGCGGCATGGGGCAGAGCTCCGCGTCCCTTCCCACCTGCGGATCCGGTGACACGGGCGGCCAGGAAGTGACAGCGGTGACACCGGCCGCCTCGACAGCAGAAAGGCGCCCGGTGCTCCGGATACAGCCGTGTGTACAGTGACCCCGCGGGGCTGATACCCCGTTTTCCACTTAACCTGTGACTGCTGCAAGCTGCGGGCAGCGCAAAGCACCGGGAACCGGGGAAACGCTTTTCATTTTGTGTCGGGAAAGAATCCCTACCAGCAAACCAGGATCAACATTAACAGGTTCGATGTGCCTCCTCCAGCCCTCCTAGACCAAAAAAAAAAAAAAAAAAAGTGTGAAAGAGTTTAAAAAAAAGAGGAAAATTTGGAGTTCTGACAGATGCGAAACTTTGATTCTTGGAAGCACAATTTGGAAAATTATTTTTAGACAAAATTTCTTGCGAAGGGCAGCTGCAAGCCTGCAGGTTTTTTGAGCTGCTTGAAAAAAAAAGTTTCATTTCTTGTAATGCTTTAAATAATGTAAATAAACCTGCCTTTAGAGAAAAGAATCGTCTTCCCTCTTCCACACTCAGGGGTCTTTTTAGGTACCGGGGAACTGAGTCTCTGTGGGACATGCACGTGTGTGTTTTCAATCCTGCTGCTAGGAATAGGTCCGAAACATGGCACAGGCTGCTCAGAACAGAGATGCAGGGGCTGGTCTCTGTTTGCTCACAAAGTTCATAAGTGACAAAATGTTTAATGAGTTACTCAGAATTTACTACCTCGTGCTACTTGTTACGAGAGGCAAAACTAGACAAGCTTCCCATACAGAAGTTGGGATAAGCAGCACTGCAATAACTTACAGGACTTTGCACAGGCTACACGTGTTTTTTTATCCCATGGACACAGGAAAAACATCCCTGGATGATCCCTGTCCTTCCCTGCCTGTATCCCTGTGATGGGTACATTGGAGAGTGCAGGTGTTGCTGACTTTCTGATGGGTTGGTACTACCTAATAATAAACAGCCAAGATTTTCTTGTCTTTTTCTTTACCACTAATTTGGTTTCTTCTCTTATACCCTGACATCAGCTTTCACAAAACTTGTGCAGCGTAATTACCATCGCTCTTTAAAATCTGACTGAAATTGGAGAGTGGGTTCAGAACACATTAGAAAGGCACTGACATACGGATAAAAGCAGTCATATAGGACTCATTTCCCTAAAAAACACAAATCTTTCCTGTTATGTAGTTGCTGTTGATTTGTGACTGAGGCTTGTATTTCAACTGAAGTGGTTTTTGCCTAGCAAAAAAAACGGTAACATCAGGATTCATCAGTGCTCCTTTTATTGACTTCGCTCTGGGTGTTTCCCCTTTGCAGTACAGTGTTTTGCAGTTACAGAGTTTGGAATCCAGCACTTATCAGCACACAGATGCACCGCTGTGCAGTTTTCTAAATACACATCCCACCTGACGTGATAAAAATAAAATTTCTCTTGTACGTCGAGACAATTGTTCTCATCTAATCACTGTCTTTATGGACTGCAAACCTGTCACAATAACAACCCCCCCCAAACGTTCTACACAGTAGAGAAAAAGTCATGAAATTCCTCAGTATATCCAAAACCAGCACAAAGACATTCCATCATTTTCATTTTTTTGTCCTTTTTAAAAGAGTGGTGATGAGTCATGGCCTCAAGATCATTTCCTTGAATCCAGATGGCACAACTTCACCACACTTGGCAACTTCGGATCACTTCCCGGAGAGCTTGTATTCCTTCCACGGTCTTGTCCTTTAAAGCCATGGCGAGAAGAACAGGTTTGTTCCCAGCTTCTTGAGACACAAACGTCACGAGATTTTTGGCGCAAACGTGGACGAGGGGCTGAAAAGCAAGAATATATGGATATATACCATGGGATTTGGGGGAACTCGCCCATGTTAGTTAGCAAGCAAGAAGTTCTGCCATGATTTGCTCATGAAGTAGGTTGAGAACCTGTCTGTACTGGATTCAGTCCTAGCACTCAAATCATTAAAGATGATTTGAAACAGACCCGTCGCCTGGCTGGTCAGCCACGCCAAACCCTGGTACAAGACATTTTAGAAAAGCACGTTCTCAGACAGCTTAAAATGGAACAGTTTGGGCCCACGAGTGGTAGCCACCCACACCACCCTGAACCAATTTAACTGGAGCTGCACTTGAGCGGAGTTTTGCATCAGTTTGGAAAACTTGCAAAGCCAGTAGGAGATTTTTTTGCTTCTGCTAATCCTCCCACACAAATGGCACCGCCAAATATCAAGCTATATGAAACGCTATGGATCCAAATACTTCTATTACCACCATAAACTGATTTATGAAGAAGTCCCTAAGTTCTATTCTCACTTAAAAATTTATTGCTGAACAGGGCATGCTCTGCTGACAAACTCTGGAAAAGAAAAACACCCTTATTTTATCAATTCTTAGAGACCCTGGCATGGTGTTATATACACGGGCTTTGGACACCATGTGTAAAATCCATTTTGCTTTGGATTTTAATGGAATAATGAAAATGAAAAAAAAAATGAGGCTAAAGGAGGGAAGAAAATGGATATTATCTTCTTAATGAGGTTTCTTTAATAAGAACATACAGCTTTGTCCAGCTGTATTCACATTCACTCTCTTAGATACTTACCTGAAGAATTAGTTTGCTTGATTTTAGCTACCAGCATGAGCTGGAACTTGCACCAGCCCAAATGAAAAGCAGGAAGTTAGCAAACTAGCAAAATGCCTTTTCCTAAGGTTTAGATTGAATAACTTGCTAAAATGATTATAAAATACTGTGTAACAAAGTAAATAAAGGCACTTCCTGTTTCCAATAAAACACATATAAACAGTTCAGGGCAGAGTGCAGTTTTGGGGCTTTTTTTTTGAATTAGCAGACATCACACCAGGGAAAGCAAAGTATCCCACAGCCAAAGCAGGAAGGCTATTACTGAAGAAAGAGAGCTCCATAAAGAGAAGCTGTCTACAGCACCAGGAACTCGTGTTGCTAGAGTTTTTCTATTTAAGGCTAACAAGTAATATTTGACAGCTCCAGCCCTGATGGAAAACCTTATAATCTTGCAGCTCTGTAACTTTTTGTTTAATGCTCGACTAGTTGACGCTTTGCAAAATATGTTTTCTTTTGCCTTCTCTCCAGCCTTGCGAAATGGTCGATAAAAAACCTATTTTGTGGAGGCAAAGCAAATTAAACGTTATCACAGGCAGGTGCTGGCGGGCACACTTGGGAGAGGGCAAGCGAGGTGCACCCCGGGGCTGGCACGGCGGAGCAGGGAGCGAAAGAGCTGGGAAAGGGGAAGGGATGGGGCCGGGAGCGAAAGAGCTGGGAAAGGAGAAGCCCGAAAATAGGTACCAAAGGCCACGTGTTTGCTCTTAAATCAACAGGAGCCCTATCAGCCTCCTGCAAACACAGCCGGGCACGCACATCCTGTGGGATACGAGGCGCAGATCCGCAGGGACTGCGCTTAGCTAAGCTCTGCTCACGTTAAGGAGCAGAAGAGGTGCATTTTGGGGAGCAAGGCCCCTTTTTTGGGGCAGCATGGGCTGGGCGCAGGGGTCCCGCGCGCGGTTACCTCGTCCTGCCCCAGCAGCACGCGGGTGGCCAGCGCGGCGGGGCCGAGGCCAGCGCCGGCGGCCGCCCGCGCGGGCTCCAGGTAGACCAGGGTGCCCATCTTGCCGTACTGCGTGGCCACGACGAAGACGGCGTTGGAGAAGGCCGTGCACACCACGTCCGTGGGCACGCCACGCACCAGGGCCGCGCGCTGCCGCGACGCCACCGCCGCCATCCCCCCGGGCAAGCGCCACTGAGGGAACACGCCCGGGTGTGCGGGAAACGCCGAGGTTTCTGGAAAACCCTCTGGAAAACCCTGAGTTTCTTCAAGAAAACACCCCGAGACGCTGGGGTTGATCTAGGGCGATAAGGGGGAGCGAGCTGGCGATGCCGCAAGGGCGGCACCGCCCGGGCGGAGACCCCGCCGCGGCTGCCCCGCTGCAGCCCCGCAACCGCCCGCCCGTCCCCCCACAACCGGCACCGGCACCAGCAGGCCCCGGTCCCGGCTGCCCCTTCCCGCCCTGAGCCCGCCCCGGCGCGGCGGAAGCGCCGCCGCTTTCCCCTCCCTCCTTCCCTCCGCCGCCATGGCGGCCGGGGGGAAGCGGCGCCATGACGGGGGGAAGCGGCGCCGCTCCCCGCTCCGCCGGGGCAGCCTGGCTGCAGGCAGCCGTCCCGGGGGCTGCTCGGGCGGCCCTGGGCCCCAGCGGCTGCTTCCACCCCGCGGCCGGGCGGCAAGGGCGTCCCGGCGGCGGCGGGGCCCGGCCGCGCGCCCCCGGAGCGCCGCGGCTTCGCGGGTCCGGCCGCGGGGCGGGCAGCGCTGGCCCCGGGGAGGACAGGGCGCCCCGGGGAGGACAGGGTGCCCGGGGAGAAGGGAGGCCCTGCAGGGAGCTCCGTGCTCCGCCGCGAGCCGCTCCCCGCAGCGCCGTGGCCGGGCGCTGCCCCCCTGCTCTGTGGTGGGTGACAAACGTGCGAAGAACCTGGGAAAAACGCTTATATCTATCAATAATAGCTGCATTAGCTTTTGTTCCTGGTTTGTAGCAAACTTGCTGAAAGTTTTCGTTTGCTTTTAGCCTTTTTTTAAAAAAAAATTATTTATTTATTTTTCCCTCTCTTTGGTAATTTTGGCCAAACTATCAAAAGCACTGAAGATTTCCTAAGAGTTGCGTGTCTTCCTGCACCTTTGCCACTACTAAGTATATTAAGTATAACGTGCCTGACATAAATACACTCCAAACCTTCATTTCTATTAGTTCAACTCTACTTTATCCTACCTAAAACGTCCCAGTGCTGGCTGCAGAAATCTGAATTTTAGGTTGTCTGGATAATCACCTTCAAAGACTGCGTAGTTTGGTTTGGTTTTGCATGAGGAGCTTCAAAACTTGCAGCTAACTTTGTGCGGAGGATGCTGTGAGGCACCATTAGAGAGCAGCAGAGGTCCATGGAAAAGCTTTTAAGAGCTCAGGTTATTCCTGCGGTTAATAGAAAGGCTTGATACCTTTTCAGCACTCCTTGCAACCCGGCAAATCTGTTTTCCAGCCCTGTGAAAATCCAACATTGCTCCTTCTTGCCATCATCGTGTGAGGCTTTGCCTGTTGCACGGAGATATGACAGTTCTAGTCATGAAAGCCTCATGGCTCTTAAAGATGTTTATTCCTGTTGTGACTTCTCTGGAGAATCATTTTGCTTTGAGACATACAAAGGGCCAGATTAATCCTGCCATCCTTGCCAACCACCTTGCTGTTTTTTATATGGCAGGAGGATGAAGAAGGTCCCCTCGAGTTCAGCCACAGATGAAAACAGCTCTGCCGCCTTGTACTTCAGTGTTGTTCCCTAGGATGGGACCAAAGAGATATTTTTGACACCTTCAATCAATTGGAAATCTTGGAAATCTGGCATGGAGCTGAGGTAGGGCACAGCAAACCGCCTGCATCAGGCAGACAGCAGGAGGCAACTGAGCACTGAGTCTTCATCACCAAAAATAAATACATTAAAAATGTATATGAGCTGTTACTAAGAAGGCTCCTGTTGTCCATGTGACTTGGGCAGAGCATAGAAATTTAAGAATGCCCCGTGGCAGATAACGGGGCCTTTCCCTGGAGGTCTGTCTGCTTGCCACCTGTTTCTGGTCATTTTCTGCTGGAGAAGGACAGTGTCTGCATCCATGTGCCAGTTATCTATAGTGCTTTTCCTCGGATCTCTAATGACACAGCAAACATTACTGCATTTTGCTTCTTAAGCTCTCTTTAGACATGCGAATTTATTAATGCATCCCATTTTATGGTCAGAGGGAGAAAAGAGACCAGCAGTTTGAAGGCCATGGACTCCCTGCTGGAGATTCCGCAGGAGTCCAGGATTGCTTCTTCCATTCTCATGCACGTACTGCTGTAGAAATGTAAGGCGAGTGCACATCATGATCTCAATTACTGCAGAAAATCAATGACTGTGCTGCCCAATCCTTTGACAAGGAAAACAGCCCAAAATACCGCAGTTTTATACTTTTATTATTATTTATTTGAGCATTTTCTTAGTACTGTTCTTTTTAAAATGCTTAAATGCCTTTGCCTAGACCAAAAGGAGGCTGCTTTTTACAATAATTGTGTTTATCTGAAGTTAATTTATGGAGAAAATGCTTAAGATCCGCAGAGCATTAGAAATGTTTCCCACTCCTCTGGAAAACTAGACACACAGTGTTTCAGGACATCCATTAATAATCCGTGCTCTTGGGAGCGCCTAGCTATCAAAGTGCTGGGTTGCTTTATTAGTTTACAGGTTATTACTTCTCTAGTTTAGATTTCTCTCTTGTATCTTTTATGATGCAGAATATAGACTACGCGCTGGAACCTCAGGTGCAGCCGGGCTCTGCTCTGCGCAGCCAAGGAGAGAGGAAAGGAATTAGTTTGCTCCCTGATGCAGGAGCTGCTGGGGAATTGCTTTGGCCCGCGTTGTAAACTGGCTACGCGAAGCAGAGCTGCCTCTGGCCAGAGGAGAGCAGAGCTGCTCTTCCTCCTCCTGATACCGCAGCAAGGTCAGGGCACGGTGGTGGTGTGGGGTCTCTTCCGAGGCCAGCGCTCTCTCCGTGGAGCTGCTGGTCTGGAGGGGAAGGAGAGGAGCCAGGAATTCACCCCATGGGGTTTTCGAGCAGCTCCCGGTGGGTTTGGATGGAGTCTGAGAGTGCTCAGAACGCACTGCTCTTAGGGAAGCCACGGAGCACATCCGAGGCTGTTCCCGAGGTTCAGCTCCAGCCCGGCACTCTGGTGGCCCCGGCGCGCTGCGGGGAGCTGCTTTGGCACTGCAGCCTTGGACCTGGATCTCCAGGCAGGAGCCGAGCCTGCCGGGGCAGCATCCAGCTGCTGGAAACCAATCCTGGTTTCTGGATTCTAGGGAGATTTGTGCTGGACGCAGGTCTGGGGCTGCCAGGCAGGACCAAAAGTGAACAATTTCTGCGCATGGACAGAAAGCAAGCCGTGAAATGGGCTTCCAGTGAAATCCGTGAATTTCCAGTGAAATGGGCTTCCAGGGAAGCCTGAGGTCAGAGCGAGCAGCTGAGGGGCTGGACACATCCAGGACTGGGTGACTGGGAAAAGATTTGAGAGTTAAAGCTCTGAGGCTTTCCCTAGATATGCTCACATTTGGAGGGAAGCTGAGGGGCTTCTTGCTCTTTTGTGAATTGGGACATCTTCTGTGCTCCCTAGGTTAATGAATAATATCATTTCTTATTCTAAGAGAGGAGTCTAAGAACTTTGTTCTGTCCTTAAGTTATTCACATATCTTTTGTTGTATGGGGCATCTATTTCATCCATTTGTTGCTTTAGGAAGCTAAGCCAATCCATCAGGCATTGCAGGCCTACTCCAGGCAATTTTTTTTCTGTTGATTAAACCTTGTTTTCAGAGTAGAATTCAGCTTGAAACAAACAAACAACAGCAACAACAAAAGTCTTTTGACGAGAACTAAATACAAAGCTCAAAACCCAAATTGTTCCATTTCTATACAGTCTTCAGCCTGCCCTTAGGTGCACATCGGAAATTGAGATCCTGGATGTGATTGCGTGCCCGAGACTGTTGAATCACGCTGTTGTCTCATTTTCCTGCATTTGCAACTCGGTGAGGAAAGGATATGGGAATGGCTGTTATTGCCTGTGCAAATAAGAAGTACCCTTGTGTGGTCACTAGGATATTTTCCTGCAGAAGCTTGAGGCACAGGGTAGAGTTTTGAAACCCGGCAGTGATCCAGCGTGTTCTGGCTGGGCCTGGAAGCGTCTAAGTAGTAATTTGACTAGAGCTCTTTGGAAATTTTCCTTCAGTTCTAGCAGTCTATAAATAGAGGAGTACTCCAGCCCTTACAATGCTTTGTTGTGCTGTGTCACTTGTGCTTTCCGAGCTGCTGTGCAGAGAGGGGAAGGAGGATGGGATGAGAAATGGGCTGCTGGGGTGCAGGGGCGGTTTCAGGAGGGGCTGCTGCTGGGATTGCAGAACCTGGCGGAAGGGAGACGAGTCACACATAGGCAGGGGCTCTGCTGAAAACAATTTCCTACGTGTTTGATCTATATGTAGTTTACTTATACTCGGTGCCTTTGAAACCAGTAGATCCTGTATTTCTCAGCAAAAGGTATCCGAAAATGATTTCAACGGTCACTGAAAGGAAAATTACATTTTTTGAAGTATGTGAAATACATCTCCAGAATAGCTCCAGTCTACCTAAAAAAGCACCAGGCAGCTAGAAGAGTCAGGATTACGTGAACTCAATTTGTTGCAGTCTAATGATAATTTTAGCCTTGATATTTATCATAAGATAACAGCTGGCTGTCCTGGGCACCGTAGCCAGAGGGTACAGAGCAGAGAGAATCAGCACGATCCAAGACTGAATCTGAGGCCCGTTGACATAATTTTTGTGTGTCAAGTAACAGCTCTGCATTGATCACGACCATGGCAGCACCTGTGGACGGTATCGTCCATCACCAGATCCACCCAAAGAACAGCAAAGGGGCCACATTTCTGGAACGGCTGAAGAAATTATTTTCCACGGATCAGAAAAGACAGCAGTAATCACCATAAAGCTCACTGTAGTTTATGCAGGGATTTCTCAGCTGCTTGTGGTGGTCTGTCAGATGAAAGACAGCGTGCAAATGGAGTGGATCATAAAAATAATTGTAGCATAGCTTCCAAGAGCAGAATTCATATTCCTCTTGCTGCCCAGATGTGTGAAAATACAGAAAAGGAGAACAGAGCTGTTGCAGAAGCAGCAAGAGAAAATCGAGGTATTAGTATGATACTAATAGTGTAGTCAGGTGTATAAATCACTTGAGTCTGACATCCAATTAAATAGTGTTGTTTTCTAGAATTCACCCGTAGTAAAAATGATGTGTCTTGATGAGACAAATGTTTTGTGCACTGGCAGCAATATATTAGCTCTTCTTTCAACTGAGAAAACAATTAAGAACTTAGTTGAAAAGGGCATATTTTCTCCATAGCCACTGATCCCTAAAAGTCTGGAAATAATAAAGTGTTTCTAATAGTTGCTCATTATTATACACTTGAAAGGGGAAAAATCCATTGTCTCATTATGTGCCAGACAGTTATGAGGTTGCACAGGGAATATTTGGAAATGTAGGATACATACAATCAAATATTTTCAACTTTGACAATGTATCATCATTTGCAGTTGATAATGCTACTGATAACGTTGGGAGATATCAATGCACGCAGTGGAAAATGAGAATAAATATTTGCTTTTAATTCCTATATGGCATAAATAACATCTAAGTATGCAGTAGAAAAGTCACAATTTGATTTTGAGGCTTGTGGAACAGAAGTTTCACAATTACAGGAGATAATCGTTTTGCCCAGTTTAAATATGTGGGAACATTCAGGCAACTGCTAGTGAAGTGGGAGTCTCTTTGCTTTGCAAATGAAACAGTAGAAAAAGGATTTGGGGTGTTAGAAATCACTTTTGAATATTAGGTGAAGATTGCCCCAGTCTGATTTTTAAGTTCTCCACTGCTGTTGAAGAAGGGCATAGTCAAAATGCCTGAAATCTGAATACACAGTACATTGATTTTTTTTTTGTCATCTAATCAAAATTAAAATACTCTCCAGTGCTGAGGTTTAGAACATTAAACATTAATTATGTTGTAAATCACGGCAAAGAATGAGCAACGTATTGAGCAAACATGCCAGGCCTGCATAAAGACGCACCATGACAAGGCAAAAGAATGTAAAGAGATGGATCTCCTCCAGCATTACGTACAAGTTCTGGGATCCCTCTCTTCATCTGCCTACGCTAACCTGATTCAGTTACTGTCTCCGAGAAATCTGAGATTTTAGGAAACTGGAAGCCTTACTGAGGAACTTATATAGAGGATGTAATGACATTTCCAGGACTGGAAACAGATTGATAAAGAGTAGAAATTCGAAAGATTTGAGAACCTTGCATACATACTCCAGGAATTTGCAATTAGAAATATTTCAGTGTTTATCTGCAAATCCTAGTTATCTCCATTGCTTAAAACTAGCAGAATTCACTAGGTCTGTTCCTGTCTCTAGAGAGTAATAGAATAAATATTTTCTTCTGGAGGCAGGTTTAACATTTCAGAAGTCTAAAAAATGTTGAGTTGGTTAAAGTTGAGGTTTAAATTAAAGTTAATTTCAAATGAATGCATAAAGAATTTTGTGAACCAACATAAAAAATGAAAAAGTACTGAAATTGTTTGTAAGCACCATTCTAAGTAATGAACTGAAGTTTGTGATAATTGAATTGTACATTTGATGGGCAATGCAAATATACTTTTAGGAGAAAAATACAATTATATACTAAGGAAAATGGCATTCAAATAAATGACATTGAAATAAAGCATTTCCTTTTATTTTTTTTTTTCAGGTGCTTATCTGCTATTTCTACCCAAAAAAAGAGATGATCATCAAGTGGACAAATCATGAAGTTTTTAAGCTCCATCTTGGAACTAACATTTGAATATCCCGTAAGGAAATCAATGTCATTTTCCTGCTCTCTCTTCTATCTCTGAAAGTGATGTCCTGCGTAGGCCATCCTCTGCACTTTACTTACAATTCCTCTTTTATTTCTCTAGGCAACTCTAGGCTGAGCTCCTGTTGTTGCTCTTAGCTTGATCTAAGCTTCCTTCCCGGGCTTCTCCAAGAGCTTTTTGGAACCACTTTGCCCTGAAACCCTGAGATCAGAGGAGAACACTGGGGGATTAGGTTTAAACTTGTTAAACTGAATTAACACTCCTACCACATGATTCTGGCCTGTGCCAGTCCTTCTAATCTTGTTCAGAGTTTAGGATAATTTGTTTAGTAGTGCCGATCAGCTGGAGGTTAATTCAATTGGACTTTGGTTATTTATTCATGCCCGGATTTGCTAAGTGTCACAGCAGATACATGAGGTCTCTGTTACAGTTATGAGACGGCTTCATTAGTGTGATGGAGAGTCCATCTGGATGGCTTCCTTTCCTCACTGCAATAACTGGCTGTCAAGGCTCTCTCCAGTGGAAGAAATCCTTATATAATGTCTCTGTTTCATTTGTGTCATAAGTGTATTGATTGCAACTTAAAATACACTTCTCTGATTGCTGGGATTGCCAATAATCGTACTCAGGGTTCTCAGTAGTATTCCTGCTCTGTTTTTTAAGTTATTAGCGTTTATAAAGCACAAGTATATTTAAAAAGTAGGTTTTTTATTAATAATGCAGCATCACCCTGTATTTTGGTCTCAGAGAACTTCAGGGTCCACTTTAACCATCAATGAAATGCTGCCATCTCTGGGGTGGGACAAACTCAGTCTTTTACCCTGTCCAGAATTAATTATTCAGAAATGGAAGACAAGAAGGAAGAAGCAAATCGCATCCTGCTGAAGTCTCTGGAGGATTTTAGGTTGGCAGAGCGTTGCTACTCAAGCTGGAATGTGGCCAGGACACCAGGATTAATGTTAGCACAAAATGCCGCTTGATTGCAAGTGTTCGGATAACCTTGGATGAAAGTCTTATCTGAAAAGAGGCTCTTCTCACAGAATAGGGCTCCCTGGTATTGGCTGGGACTTTGGTTCAAGGTTGACTCAGAGAAAAAAATTTGCTTTTGGCTTCAGCAGTTTTTGAACTGGGCAGCTCTTGAATGGGTAACAGATCTCCCCTTCACAGCCTGGAGCACAGCAAATAGTTTCCCAGTGAGGATTCTCTGCCATAGACTGATGTCTCTTTTTAGACATGCTGTGATTAGATGTTTCCTGATATATCATGCAAACATTACAAATAGGAGCCTGAAGCAATGCTGGTTGACGAAAGGTCCTAAAGATTGGAAGCCAGGAAAAATGTTCAATACGGAGAAGGCACTGGGCCAAGCCAAGCTCCTGCTGCCACATAAAGGTGGAATTGCTGCTTATGTCAGGCAGTTAACTCTGAGCAAGTGAGACGAACCCCTTCCTTATTTCTTCACCCCTCTATATGTTTCTACACACAGTTCTCTAGTATGTGTTATGGCTGGTATCTAGGTGATACCCAATGAAAGCTTTGATGATTAACAGCAGCACTGATCCACTGCTTGTTCTCTTGCTCTCCATTTTTCAATTAAGTTGTAAGCCGTTTTTTTTTGAAGAGCAACCATTAACTTTCAAGGAGTGAGAAATGTTCTCACATCTTTGGCTCTCTTCAGAAGCCCCTTTCACAGTTACAGAGTGTGAAATATGGTTTCCAACAGAATAATGCTCCCAAACCAGCTGGGACCTGCATTACAACTCAGCATTCTTTGCAGGAGTGTATTTGGTGTTGGCTTGGAAGCCGAGTCAGAGCTTTTGAGAAAGAGATTTTGTCTACACATAAGATAAATACGTAAGAGTGCTTATCTATACAACAGAACGACAAGGATCTCAACGGTGACACAGAAGCTGGATAGACCTGGCCTACAAGGCAGATATGTCACCTTTGTCACCAGGCAGGTGATCATTTGTCATTACTGTTATGGATGTGTGTGCATGAATTTGACCTAGACTGTTTGGTGTGGAGCTCTTCTCCATCTTACCTGATGACAGAAATGTCTCAGATTTCCCTCAGCTTCCATGGAAGCCTCTGATTATCCCATCTTCCTCAGCCCAGCCTACCCATTCCTCTGCTACAGTGTATCGTATATGAGCCAAAATATGATTCCCCCGAGAATTCACTTAATATTTCTTCTCCCTGTATTCATTGTTTTTCATTTATAGATTAACCAGCATCTGAGATGCTCAACGCTTTCCTTAACTTTGCTTTGACAAGATAAACTTTTAAATTAAACATTTTCATTTCCCTCTCCTTCTATTTGAGGGATATTGTATAATTTCATATTAAAAAAAAAAGCAGCAGCAAACAGAGAAGTAATCACAGATGCATTTTGCTGAGGAGAGATAGATGGCCTGACATAAAGGATTGAACACACTATTCTGCAGATATCCCTGCTCCTGACAAAACGGGCCAAATTTATTCTTTGTGTAATTCCACTGGGAACAAACCAGGCTCAGGGCTCTAAGGAAGACCACGTGGTGACATTTTATTTCATCGAGTCCCGGGAACATTGAATATGCTCTTGATATGCAAGAGGAGGCTGAAATCTGCAATCAGCTCCACGAGTGTAATTGAATCTGAGTCAGGAGAAGTGACACCTGCGTGATGAAGAAGGGCATTCATTATCCTCTGTTCAGGTCTGTACCATCCTCGGCGTGTGGACGTGGTTCAGCACGTACTATCTCAAGCAGCGAGAGATCACGGTATCATGCTCCAAATCTCATTTCCTATCTATATTTCTGCTGTGTGCCACCATCTCCATGCCATGCTGACAAGTGCATAAGCATAAGCCATCATATCTCAATATCTGCTATATGCATGTGCATCAGCAAACAGATGCACGTTGGCCTTATGAATATGGATGGACCACAACATGTAGCACAACCTTCACGTCAGACTCGCTTTCCTTCATGTCCCTGTGCTGTTTTGGGGCCATCTGTGTCAATAAAGGCCCAAAACTGGGTTACTGCAGGTAGCGATGGTGCAGCTGTGAGATCTGCAGTGTTGTGCCTTTCACACACATACTCTGCATGCCCCCAACCTTTGAGCAAAAGACTAAAAGTCTCACAGGTGGTAGAGGAATAGAAAAAGAGAGGCCTTACATGGCCTTTAGCCTCCACCATCAGAGGCAATGCAGGACGTGAAAATGCCCAGATGATCCTATCATGCTGCCATTAGGACTTGTCCTTCTGGGGATGGTGCAGTGAAGAGCTACTAAGAGAAACTGTCAGAGATTTCTGTTGGAAGTCTCATTTTGACATAGCAGACTCTATTGTTTTGATCACTCACCTTTTAAAAGTAACTTTAAGATTGCAGTGTCCTGCTTTGATGACTCTTGGAACAAAGCTGCAGTTTCCATGTCATTTTTTCATCCACGCTTTATTTTACAAAGTGGCAATGAAAAGATTTGATTCACCTAAACCACCTATGGGATGTGCCAGTTTTGGGAAAACTTGCAAAATGTCCTTCTCCTTTAGAAGAGGGAAGCACGATACAGTAACAGGTAAAAGGAGAGGATTCAGTCCAGCCCATTTGTCCTTGGATCCAAGGTTGGAGCTCCATGTTCCCTTCCTAAGACTCTGTGTGGCTTCAGGGATGAGAGATGAGCAATTCTCACGCTTCTCCATGTTCTTCTTGCTTTGTCTTGTACCTTTGGTTGCACCAAGGTTTGGTCTTCAGCCAAGAGGCAACTTCTTAGAAGAGGAAGGCTGCTCGAGGTCTCAAAGGCAGGAAGGCACAAGATCTCCCCTGCAGGATGGGAAGCAAGTTTATCCTGCAAAACGTTCTCTGAAGAATGGCCATGGTGAGCTTTGGAGAGAAATCTTGAGCTCAAAGGGAGGAGATAGTGACGTGTGTGAAGGTGAGGAGAGGAAATATCTAATTTTAACAGGTTGAAAGCAGCAGTGGAGGGGCTCTACCCAAAGCTGGGGGTTTGGGTCACAGGTATCTTGAAGACAAGGTGAGTTGTGTCAAGTGGAAGGCACCCTCCCATTTCTTTCTTCTTGATAAGGCTTTGAGGGAGCCTTATCAAAACCTTTCCCATATAATATACATGTAAATGCACACATATACATGCAAACACACTCACACACACACATTCAATCTCATGCCACTGGAAGCAAGAGAACAAAAGTATTGCAAAAGTCAGCTGGATCCTCCAGAGAGAGTGATGCAAAATATGTATCCAATAAAGCTCTTCTGATGATACCCATAAATACAGAGCTGAAGTGCTGGCCCTGCTGTCCTCTCCAGTGCCATCCCACCAGAGCTATGTAGCTCACATCCTGAGTCATCCCCAAGGAGAGCAATAGATGTTGTGCACTTGAAATGGTTTAATTTCTAACTGGCCCAAGCACAGTTTATCCCTCCTCCATCAGGCAAGAGGAAGATGGAGAATTTTAATATCTTCTAGTAAGATCATGGGACCTCTGAGTCCAGCTTTATTCAGTGCAGTTGGTGCATTTTACTGGTTCTGTGCCCAAAACTGCAAGTAGGGGAGAAGCTGGGCTCTCAGATTGCACCAGCAGAAGAGAATGGCAGTGTCTGTGCAGAAAGCTGCCCTGTTCTGGAGTTCTGGTTCAGATATAGGACCTTGAGATCTCTGTTTTCAGCTATGGGACACCCTGCTGAAGCTTATGAAGTTATAGGAAGGCACTCAGGTGGCCTGATTTCCAAAGGTAGTGATGTGTTCTCACCTCAAGCAGCAGATCTTCAATCTGGCACTTTCTTCAATTTACCCTAGACTCCAACCAAGACTTTCTACATCCATTCCTTGCCCAGGGCTGTGTTTTAGCTGTGTTTTCCAGGCAAATGGAGGCAGGAAGCTCTCCAGCTCTGCTGGCCATTCTGAACCAATTCTCCCTGTCATCAGAGAAGGGATTTCTCTTGGAGAAATCTGCTGTCACCGGGAATGGGATAAACAACTGATGGCTGCTGTTGTAGGACAAGATCCTTGGAGTACAACAGGTCTCCTCTATGATGGAACTGAAAAGCAGGAAAAATCTATAGGGCAGCCTGCTACTGTGAGATGGCTTGCCTTTGAACACAAACGAGAAATACATTTTCAAAGAGTGTGCAATCCACAAGCAC